CTTATTTTACCCCTGTTCCTTGTGATGGTCTTCGTGTTCTTGGTCAGTGTTTGTCATTCTAGTTCAGTTCTGTTTTATGTTTCATTGATTATGTTTTCCCCCTTGTGGGTTTTTGCTTTGTGTTTTTGTTTTCATTTGTTAATAAATATCCTTTTACTGCACTTGAGTCCTCTTCTCCACTTTTTGTAAATCGTATCGTGACAGAAAGATCCGACCACTTGTGGACTCAGCAGCATGGAGGACGAGGAGTTTGACTGGGTGAATCTGGATGATAATTATATGGACGACGATTACTTGGATTGCCCGGACTACACCATCGCCACATTTGGGTCAACCCAATTTTCGTCCATCTGTAGGGACAGCTCAGGACCTACTTCTTGCCGTCACGGACGGAGAAGGAGGAGGAAATGCCCGTCTGCCCTGCGAGAGACTGTTCACGTCCCGTCTGCCCAGCGAGAGACTGTTCACGTCCCGTCTGCCCAGCGAGAGACTGTTCACGTCCCGTCTGCCCAGCGAGAGACTGTTCACGTCCCGTCTGCCCAGCGAGAGACTGTTCACGTCCCGTCTGCCCAGCGAGAGACTGTTCACGTCCCGTCTGCCCAGCGAGAGACTGTTCACGTCCCGTCTGCCCAGCGAGAGACTGTTCACGTCCCGTCTGCCCAGCGAGAGACTGTTCACGTCCCGTCTGCCCAGCGAGAGACTGTTCACGTCCCGTCTGCTCAGCGAGAGACTGTTCACGTCCCGTCTGCCCAGCGAGAGACGGTTCACGTTCCGTCTGCCCAGCGAGAGACTGATCACGTTCCGTCTGTTCAGTCTGGGACAGAGCCAGAGATCCCCTTTGGCGTGGCCGCCAAGGTTGTGACGGACTATCTGGAGCGTCTGGCTCGGATCTTGGAGATGCCAGTCTCTGCTGTTCCGGTTCCGGAGGCGGAGCCAGTGCCTGTCCCGGAGGCGGAGCCAGTGCCTGTCCCGGAGGCGGAGCCAGTGCCTGTCCCGTGCCTGTCCCGGAGGCGGAGCCAGTGCCTGTCCCGGAGGCGGAGCCAGTGCCTGTCCCAGAGGCAGAGCCAGTGCCTGTTCCAGAGCTGGAGCCCATGTCGGTTCCGGACCCAGTGTTTGTGTCTGTGTTTGTGTCTGTTCTTGTATCTGTTTTAGTTCTTGTGGCTGTACCTGAGCCGGTGTCCACTGTACCTGAGCCGGTGTCCGCTGTACCTGAGCCGGTGTCCGCTGTACCTGAGCCGGTGTCCGCTGTACCTGAGCCGGTGTCCGCTGTTCCTGAGCCGGTGTCCGCTGTTCCTGAGCCGGTGTCCGCGGTTCCTGAGCCGGTGTCCGCGGTTCCTGAGCCGGTGTCCGCGGTTCCTGAGCCGGTGTCCGCGGTTCCTGAGCCGGAGTCACCGCCACGGCCGACCGAAGGGTTCTCACCGCCACGGCCGCCCGAGGGGTTCTCACCGCCACGGCCGCCCGAGGGGTTCTCACCGCCACGGCCGCCCGAGGGGTTCTCACCGCCACGGCCGCCCGAGGGGTCCTCACCGCCACGGCCGCCCGAGGGGTCTTCACTTCGCCCTGCCCGCCCGATGAACTTTGTTTTCGCCCTGGCCGCCCGATGAACTCTGTTTTTCCTTGGTCTGTCCCTCCCGTCCCGCCCTGATGTTTCCTTACTGTCCCGCCTTGGCCTGATGGAGCGTCTGGTAGCCGCTCCGTAGGGAGGGGGTTATGTCACATGTCTGTCCGGTCTTGTGTTGCACATGGGTGTTTGTTATGTTGAGCCATGTGCTCTCGTTAATGTTTGATCCCTCCCCCTCGTTACCTGATTAGTGTTTGAGTTCTTCCACCTGTTCCCTCTTGATTTGTTCCCTATTTAAGTCTCTTCTTGTTTGCTGTCTTGGTCGGATCTTTGTCTTATGTTACCCCTGTTCCTTGTGATGGTCTTCGTGTTCTTGGTCAGTGTTTGTCATTCTAGTTCAGTTCTGTTTTATGTTTCATTGATTATGTTTTCCCCCTTGTGGGCTTTTGCTTTGTGTTTTTGTTTTCATTTGTTAATAAATATCCTTTTACTGCACTTGAGTCCTCTTCTCCACTTTTTGTAAATCGTATCGTGACACTTATCTTTTGAGTTCAGCTCATGAAAAATGGGGGCAAAAACAAGTGTTGCGTTTATAATTTTGTTCAGTGTATATATATTTCGGACCAAACTATCAGCCAAACAAGAGTTAAACAGAAAAAAAAAAACTGTTTTGTTTTGACAAAAAAAAAGTGTAATTTTCTATTCATAGAATCAAAGAAAAAACTTTTTCAACAGGATAACTTATTTATTGAATTTTTCCTTCATGGATTCCATAGAACAATACAACAGAATTTCTGGATAATTTTGGTGATTGAGTTTTCAGCATGGTCATAACCATTTTCATCAATATCTTCATAAACGCTAAGAATATATCATACACATTAAATACAGCACAATCCAAAGGCATCGAGAGTTTCACAAGACATATCAAACACCACTAACAACGGAGAAGTTGAGTAGCATATTCATTTGGAGGAGGAGAAGAGTGGGCCAGAGCAGAGAATGGAAGAGAAAGAGAGAGAAAGAGAGAGAGAGAGAAAATGAGGGAGGGAGAGACACGCTAATATATTTAGCAGGCCGACGGCCATCTACCCAAAAGCGAAACCTGGTTTTCCTCAAAGTCGCAGGCAAATGAAAGAGTTTGAAAAAATATTAGATAGTTAGTTACAAGTCTGGGTAAGCTTGCATTATGAGCCTCTGATCATGCAATAATATAAAGAATCTCTTCATAACAACGTCTGCATCAGCCCTAAATAAAACGATTATCAACTCAGGGGGAAAACAAATCTGGTGCTTTTACTAGATTAACTTAGCATCCTCATATGATATATACTGATTGAATACTATACAGAACAATAACTTTAAGACTTTATTGCACCAGTTCAACGTGGTTCAAATGATAAATGTGAATTTCGTAGCTAATTTAATTGACCCCTTTGATTCCAGCCAGGAGGTCTAGCTATCCCGTACACTTTTGATCATCTGGCATTTTCAGTGAATGATTGATCAAGCAGAAAAATAATCTAAACTGGCATTCAGGAAATCTTCTGATGGAAATCATAGAAATTTCACATTACACCAGTTCATGATATTGGTTAAACAATGTGCAGGTACTTTATATATATATATTTTATATGTACATCTGAAAATATACCTCAATATCACAGGCTGAAATCCTGTAATATTGTATATGTTTCTGAGAGAGGGAAAAGGGAAAATATTGACGAAATTGAAACTGACATGTATATCTACATTACTGACATCTCAACACACAAGAATGATTCTCTCTGTCCGGTGCTCACACAACACAAACGAAACCCCAATCCATATATATATATATTTATATATCTAGTTTTAGCATCCTCTAACTTAAACAGCACTACATCAACACAGCACTCAGAGGCATTGTGTAATGAACAACCATGCTTATTCTGCACCGAGAACGCATGTGCTTTTCATAATACAACGATTTAAGAGAGAGAATTGAACAAAGTCAACATTTTCAGTCAGGAAATGAGAAATGCTTTGAGATACCCTTGACCGTTTTGCTTGCTGGTTGAAGTAATGTGGTCCCTCCATGAGTTTGAGAATGATTCTGCCCACGGTAGCCCTGGATGCCCCCCACCGCCTCAGTGTCGGTCACATTAGTGCTCCATCCCACCCATGAAGAAATAAAAAGCAACAAAATACCAAACAAAACTAAAGAGGTCAACATACTGTACCAAACCACAACCCACCAGAGTTAAAAAAAAATTAACAAGGAACAAATTCTGTGGGGCTTTGTGATTTTTTTCACATTATCATTGTTATTATTGTATTTATTTAGGGTCTCTAAATTGAACTAGACTACAGTATTATAATCCCATACATATCATTAGGAAGTATATATATATATATATATATATATATATATATATATATATATATATATATATATATATATATATATATATATATATATTAGTTTAGAATGATATCTTTACAGCACAGACAAATACATTCTCTCAAGTTTAGCTTCACTATTGTCAACATCATCAATTAAAAATTCATATAGCAATAAGATTAATATACTTTTTCATATTTTGGTACAGTATTTAAGTGTGTTGAAATTTGATCGAACATTTTTAGTTGTATACGTCACAATAATAAACAGCACATTAAAACCCCTCTGCTTTATCCCGCTCCCCTCAGTATGTGATTTTAGATTACCCCATCCCCCTCCCCTCCCTCCCGCCCCTCTTATCGTTCACAGACGTAAGCACAAACGCACAAACAGGAAGTGTGGAAGTGTGAAGAAGTGTGGGTTGTGGGTAGGGTTCAGGCACCACACTGCTAGAGTCACACGATCAACTTCTTTCTGTGGAGAGACAGAGAATACACTGATATTAAAATACTGGCTGATAATAACCAATAAATGGCTGATATTCAAATTTCGAATGATTTTGTTCATATGAATTTGTTTATAATTAAAATTAAATACTAAAAACTGAAATCAAATGTTTAAAATGCTACAAGCAGTGCTTGAAGTGGGGAAAAAAGTGCCAGTACTTCCCCTTGGTTTGAAGTGTGGGCGGTCAGAGTACCGGCAACATGTGAGAAGTTAGTAGATAAAATGTTGCCGGTACTCTGACCGCCCACACTTCAACCGAGGGGAAGTACTGGCACTTTTTTCCCCACTTCAAGCACTGCTTGTAGCATTTTAAACATTTGATTTCAGTTTTTAGTATTTAATTTTAATTATAAACAAATTCATATGAACAAAATCATTCGAAATTTGAATATCAGCCATTTATTGGTTATTAGAAGTTCTGAATGGCCGGTAACTTAAAACTTTAGTAGCCAAATTGGGCAGTGGGTGAAAAATTTAATTTCAAACCCTGAATATGATGTACAGTATAAAAAAGGCATTTTGAGATTGAAAAAATCTCCAAAAACGTACCTTCCACTCACCAGCCATCTTCCGCTTCCTCAGATATTTCTTCACTCACATCTGGTTGGAAAAGGAGGTGGGTGCCCCCTGCTGTTCATAGCCGGCCTGACCGTATTCGCCACCCTGATTGTAGCCTTGCTGGCTGTAGTCGGGCTGGTAGCCTCCCTGGGAGCCAGCGTACGGGTCAGGCTGCCCATAACCTCCCTGTCCATAGGAATCAGGGGCGGGCTGCTTCTCTTGGGCGGGCTGTTGGCGCATAAAGGGTGCAATGATCCCGGTCTCCTTGAATACAAACCACAGGTTACCTGTCCACAAGATCAGGTTGAGGAAGCCAAAGACCTGGAGAGAAATAGAAAGTTAACAATGCAGTTTCAAATTTAGTTTGATTCACGAGACATTAAAGGACATTATAGTTCACCCTAATTTTTTACTCACCCTTGTTCCATCCCCAATGTAGGACTGAGCGATATGGCCTTAAAAAAAAATCCCAGATTTTTTTCGCCAAAAATTTGATTTACGATTTAAATAGATTTTTTTTTTTCACTACTTAAAATCAATCTGCAGATGACAAAGAAATTGTTCAAAACAAGTTTTAACTTTATTTTGTTTTGATTTTCCCTTCTGGGATTTGATCTGGATTTCCCCCTTGGGGTTAAAGTGCTATCAGAAACAATAAGCCAAAAAGACAAGATGGCAGGCCCTGCCTTTGTAAACAGTGAAAATGTAACATAACATAACGTAAACATAACATAAAATGGGTGGATTGGGATTGGGGGATGTACAAATTTTTTTTATAAAATTGCATCACAATAAGTGTATTGTGATTGTCAAAACATTTGGTAACTAAACTGAATTTTATTAAGTTTAGTGACAACACAATGTTTACATGGTACAATGACTGGTATACTACTGTTTTTATTATTGCTTGACACAAATTTCACAATTTCAATTCTTGTGATTTGATTCTGATCTTAATTCAATATTGATTCCTTGTTTGAATAAATACAGTAGATACATTAATGTGTTATGTTAATTGTTCTTCAAAAAAAATCTCTCACCCAATGCTGTAAACGTACAGAGCCCTGTCAGCTGGTATTATTATTAAAGGTTAAAAATAACATCTCAAATTAAATATAATGCATTTTTTATCATAACAACATTATAATATTTTAATGATATAGGTACAAATATAATAAATATGTAATATACTGTAGTTATCATATTTAGCAAAATACTCCTCTCTATAGCAATTTTTATGGTCATTAAATGGCTTTCCTGAGGTAAATGTAACGGAAAAACACTGATAGATTGATTTTATTACATTTCGGTAAGTTGAACTGTTTCTTTCAAATTACCTATTGATCATTCTTGTTTATTTACTATTAACTAGTAGTAAAGAGTAACAGATGATCGGTTCACGTGCCGCTTGAACTGAGATCTGTCATGTCGCATTTACAAGCGCCAAAACAGTGTTTATTGTTTGCATTTCGTAATTAAATTGACAGAATCTGAGAGCTGAGAATTTGTTTCATATCAATAGTAACCTTCTCTGTCGGTGTAAGTGTCCTCTTTGCTTCGCGATTTTTCTCTGCGTGAGAAAATGGATGTGTGGCGTGAGAGCGTGTAAAAAGTGACAATTGCGTGAGTCTCACGGTGAATTCATGAGAGTTGGCAGCCCTGCAGATTCAGTTTGTAAATGTTTTTGGTGGGTGTGCTTGTACTGCCACGGTCTTGTTCATTTGCCATGTTGTTTGTGTATCTCTATGGCAAACGATTAGTCCGTTCGGAACTACGGGAGCCCAGAGGGGAGCGTCGGCAGATGTTAAAGAGAAAACCGATTTTCATTCAAACAAATCGACGTAAACTACACATTGGAGTTAATCGATAAAATTGATTTATCGCCCAGGCCTACTCCAATGTATATGACTTTTCCTTTTTCAAATAAACACAAATAAAGATTTTTAGGAAAGTAATCAATCTCTGTGAGTCCATATAATGCAATAGGTTCCACTCAGTTGATGCTTGAAAAACGTCTCGGTTACGTATGGTAACCCTCGTTCCCCGAGGAGGGAACGGAGACATGAGTCAGAAGTGATTCTGACGAATGGGGATCGCTTGCGAGAGCCTATCTACTTCGAGTGAAACTAAACGAGCCAATGCACAATGGCATGCGATAATTGCACCAGCTGCTGTGGATTGCGGCAAGAGCATATAATAAGCAGCAGGTGCCTCACATCCTTGTTTTTCCGCTGAGGAGCCGTACAGCGGAAGCTCAGCAACTGTGGCGAGGGGACTCACGTCTCCATTCCCTCCTCGGGGAACAAGGGTTACCATATGTAACCAAGATGTTCCCCTTCGTCAGCTCACTATGACGTGAGTCAGAGGTGATTCTGACGAATGGGGATATCTACCAAAACGCCCTGGCTGCTGGCCCTTCCAGCGCTCTGCTTGAGCCTCCTGACCTGACCACAGTGTTGGGCAGAAAGTAGGGGCTCTAAGCAGAGAAGGTCAGTCACTGCTGTTCCGCAAGACCCAGTCTGACTTATTGGATAATGCTGGGAAAGCGTGCCCTTGGAAAGGGGAACGCTGTGGAAGCCACGTCCTACTCCGGAGGGAGGCACTGTGACGGATACACATATGGACTAGGCAAGCAGGGTAGTACGACATATGACAGTCTCTGGGGTGGTTCCAGCCTAATTCTAGGGGGAAAGAACACCAGCAGAGATGACAGAGCAGGCTCTGTCGAGGGAAAGACACGGGCTCGTCCACAGAGGAGCTGATCGTGGAGGAATACACATATGGGGTCGCCGCAGGGACCGCTACATATGGACACCCAGCCTAACACAGGTTCCACAATGCATACGAGTGTAGGCCTGGCGTCAGACGCTCCGCAACTTCTAACTGCCGCAGGGGTGAAGGAGGAACTCATAGGATTAGCCATTTCTGGGGAACACTACGGGAGCAAATAGACGCACGTATCCGGCCCATGAGGGTGGGAGTGGTGTTGCAAGCCGACACTAAGAAAGAGTCCCTCGCGCTACTGGCCACTGGGGCGAGTATACGGGAAGATACCAGCTCTACACGGAGGCTATAAAATCTAGCGAATGTGTTAGGTGTCGCCCAGTCCGCAGCTCTACAATATCTGTCAGCGAGGCGCCTTGAGCCAGCGCCCTGGTGGAATCAACACTTCTAGTTGAGTGTGCTCGCAACCCAAATGGGCAAGGCACGCCTTGAGCTTCGTAAGCTAAGGCGATGGGATCCACTATCCAGTGGACCATCCTCTGCTTGGAGACAGCCTTTCCCTTTTGCTGGCCTCCGTAACAGACGAAGAACTGATCTGAGGTCCTGAAGCTTTGCGTTCTGTCCACGTAAAACCGCAAAGAGCGGATGGGACAGAGAAAAGCTAGGGCTGGGTCTGCCTCCTCCGAAGACAGTGCTTGCAGGTTCACTACCTGGTTCCTGAAGGGAGTGGTAGGAACCTTGGGAACATATCCAAGCCGGGGTCTCAGGACAACGTGAGAGTTGGCCCGGCTTGAATTCTAGGCACAATTTGTCGACTGAAAATGCTTGCAGGTCCCCTACCCTCTTGATGGAAGCCAAAGCAGTCAGCACTCTTTAGTGACAGGATGTTTAACTCAAGCTGACTGCAATGGTTCAAAGGGAGGTCTCTGCAGTGCGCTGAGCACCAGAGACAGGTCCCAAGAGGGTATAGAGGGGGGGACAGGCCCTGAATCTGACGATCAGGTCATGCTTTCCCAATGACTTACCTTCAAATGCATCGTGATGTCCGGCAATAGCGGCAACATACACTTTGAGGGTGGAGGGAGACAGCCTTCGCTCCAACCCATCTTGCAGGAAAGAAAGCACGACTCTGATCGGACATCTTCGGGGGTCTTCCCGGTGGGAAGAACACCATTCAACGAACAGGTTCCACTTCAGAGCATAGAGGCGCCTCGTTGAGAAGTGATGGTGTCTACCACTGCCTGGGGTAGGTCACCTAGAACCTCCTCGTCCTGTCCAGGGATCAGACATGGAGTTTCCAGAGGTATCTGGCAGGTCCTTCCTCAGAGGAATGGGCCAAGGAGGTGCTGTCGCGAGTAGCATGAGTTCTGGGAACCAGGTCTGGTTGGGCCAATACGGTGCAACTAACAAGACCTGCTCCTCGTCCTCCCTGACTTTGCACAGAGTCTGTGCGAGAAGGCTCCCTGGGGGAAGCGCATACTTGCGTAGGCCCCGGGGCCAGCTGTGCGCCAGTGTATACGTACCGAGGGTCCCCTCGGTCAGGGAATAAAACAACTGGCAATGGGTCGGGTCTGGAGAGGCAAACAGATCTATTTGAGCGGCTCAAAGAAGTCCCATATCAGGTGGACCACCTGGGGATGGAGATGCCACTTTCCCGGAAGCGTAGGCTGTCGTGAGAGCTTGTCAGCTGCACGATTGAGCACGCCAGGGATGTGAATGGCACGAAGCGACCTCAGATGCTTCTAACTCCATAGGAGATGGCGGGCGAGTTGCGACATGCGGCAGGCCACAGACCTAAAACGGCATGCCAGTTGTACGTGCCCCCCCAGCCGGTGGCAGAGGAATCCGTGAAGACCACAGCATGCCTGGACACTTGTTCTAGGGGAACACCTGCCCGTAGAAACGAAGGGTCCGACCACGGGCTGAAGGTTGGAGACTGTGCGGGGTGACGTGCACCCGGCACGTGCCGCTCTGCCACGCCCATCTCCGGACTCGGCCGGGAAGCCAGTGCTGAAGCGGTCTCATATGAAGCAATCCGAGCCGTGTTACTGCGAATGCCATATGCCCCAGGAGCCTCTGAAAAAGTTTCAGTGGGGCCGCTGTCCTGCTCTTGATTGTACTCAAGCAGTTCAACACTGACCGGACGCGCTCCTCTGTGAGTCGCGCTGTCTGGTTGACAGTCCAACTCCATATCGAGATAAGAGATCCTCTGCACAGGGGAGGTTGCCCTTGTCCCAGTTGACCCAAAGCCCCAACAGGCTGAAGTGACGGAGCACCATGTCCCTGTGTTCACACAACTGATCCCGAGACTGAGCCAGAATCAGCCAGTCGTCGAGATAGTTGAGAATTCGAACGCCGCTGTAACAAGGTTCATGTTGTGGGAAGGAGGCAGGAACTGGCGAACATTCGAAAACTTTAATAATACAATAAATCAACACCAAAATGAAAGTATAAGCCAGCAGACCCTCAAGGGGGGTCTCGATCTCCACTGTCATCGCTCCTCCTTTTATGCTTCTGCTTCTCCGTGAGGAATACGAGACCGGTGCGTTGCGCAGGTGTCGCTCATTAGTAATCACGCCACCGGCCTCGCGCCGTCCTCCTATGGTCCTCGACCTCGTCCTGCTCGCCACATACCCCCATCGCCCCTCGCAGGCCGGCACCGGTGGTCTACTCAACAGTCGGTGGTCCGGTGGTCTACTCAACAGTCTCCAACGGTGGCCGCGGCACCTGGGGGTATGGATAGAAGAGGCGAGAGAAAAGGAGACGGAAGCATGAGGAGCGACAGAAACAAGACAGGGGAGAAAGGAAAAAACAAATTCTTGGTCCGGTTCCCACAACGCACTGCCATCTGGTCCTCCACCAGCTGGGCAATCTTATCCGCGGTGCCTGGTGGTGGCGCTGGATAGCCCTCGGTGGACGGTTCAACACTCATCCGCCACCTGGTGAACGGCAACGGCTCCTCCGGATTCGGGCAGATGGCAGGAGTCCCTTGTTCCCTGCTCCTCCCCATCATGGCGGATGTCAGTAGGCTCCGGCCTCTGCAAATGGCGACGACTCCTCCGCTCCCTCACGGACGGCAGCCGCCCCTCCAGCACCCAGGCGGCCGGCAGCGGCAACTCGCTCCAGCGCACCGCCTCGAGCGTCCATGGTGACGGAATTTGCCCACCATGCTCGATGGCACAGTGGATTCCCCACAGTGGCGAGGGCTCTCTGACAGCGCGTTCCTCCTTTCGGCACCAGTGTAACGAGGTTCGTTGCTGTGGGAAGAAGGAGGCGGGAACCGGCGAACATTCAAAGACTTTAATAATAAGGCCTGTTCCTCTCTCGATCTCCACTGTTGTCGCTCCTCCTTTTATGCTTCTGCTCCTCCGTGAGAGATACGAGATCGGTGCGTCGCGCAGGTGTCGCTCATTAGTAATCACGCCACCGGCCTTGCGCCGTCCTCCCATGGCCCTCGACCTCGTCCTGCTCGCCACAGCCGCGTTCTCAGAGTGGAACAATGGCTGCCTCCGCGACCTTCGCAAAGACGCGGGGCGACAGGGACAGCCCGAAGGTTAGGACTTTGTATTGATATGCCCGTCCCTCGAACGCAAACCGCAGGAACGGTCTGTGTCGAGAAAGAATCGAGACATGAAAGTACGCATCCTTCAGGTCGATCACTGCAAACCAATCTTGGGGACGGATGCATTCGAAAATGCGTTTCTGCATGAGCATCTTGAACGGGAGCTTGTGCAGGGCCCGATTCAAGGTTTGCAGGTCCAAGATCGGCCGTATCCCACCACCTTTCTTGGGTACAATGAAGTTGGGGCTGTAGAACCATGTCTTCATATCAGCTGGAGGGACCGGCTCGATCACGTCCTTCGCCAGTAGGACAGATCTCTGCCCACAAGACAGGTGCATCGCTGCTCCACACGGAGGTGAAGTGGATGCCCCTGAACATGGGAGGGTGCTGGGCGAACTAAATCGCATAGCCGAGTCTGATGGTACGGATGAGCCAGCGAGACGGGCTGGGGGGCGCTAACCAGGCTCCCAGACACCGTGCAAGCGGGACCAACGGGACCACTGATGTACCCGAGGTGGAGCAGGAACTCGACTCAGGAGGCACTGAGGCGGCCCGAAGTGGGGTTTGAGTGTGCTGTGCAACACTACCTGGTTCCAGGGTGGGGCAGAGGGTGCGTTGGAAGGCCTGTTAGCGTCCTCGAACCGCACAGAGATAGAGAAGCTGCTCTTACTGAGAATTTGGGTACCGCTGACTGAGACGCCAGCGGCGGAACAGAATTTGAATAAACAAAAGATTCTCTGCCCGGCCCTCCACCAGGGAAGAACAGATGACTCTGGGTCCCCCGTCTCAGGGTTGCTGAGACATGTGGCGCAGTCATCCTGCGAAAGCTCGACATCACAGTAGAGCTGGCTGTGACTGAGTTTTTTGGGGATTTTTTCGCAGGGGACTGACACCCTTGACGACAAACAGGCTGAGGGGTAGCCCACGAGTGACTCTGGTTGCACATCGGGACAAGCTCTTGGTTACCTCAGCCTGCTTCTGAACTGTGGAGAACCGCTGGGGACAGTCTCCAACAGTGTCGCCGAAAAAGGCCACCTCGTGAGATGGGAGCATCGAGAAAGCAAGCTTTGACGATGTCTTGCACCTCTGCAAGGTTTAGCCTTGGGGCCCTTCTGGACCACCAGCGTGGACATCGTCTGACCAAGGGCCAGCGCTTTGACTTAAACCACAGTCAGTCCCTATGCACAGCTCAACCCCGACTCAGAACTACCCTCGTGCATTACGTGTTTTGGCCCTCCACAGACTTGTAGGGTGGCCATCACATGCAGGGAAGAGGCGGTCTGCCATTAGTAAAGCCACCCCACCATCAAGAGTAGTGAGAGAGGAAAAACTTTTTCTGGAGATTTTGGCATGTTTGGCTTGCCATAGATAGCAGGACGAGGTCAGGATGAAGTCATCAACCTCGATGGCACACGGCACACTGAGCGCTCAAGCCCTCGTGAGAAAGGCAAGATGAACAACGTGCCGACGTGGTCATGCTCTCATAAGAGAGCATAAACCACCCACGAACACAGTCTCAGCTTGTTTGCGATGCGCTTGAGGAGTGAGGGGCCCGAGGAGGTGGTCTCGTCGGGGAACGCTCACTGTAATCCTCAGATCAAAATAGCCCTTTTCTGGTGGCCACCAGAAGAGGAACTAGATCGGGGCATAGGCAAAGGGACTCCACCTCGTTTGAGGCACTTGAGTCTCGACCGCGCATCTAGAGCACCGAATGATGCACGCTGGGTTGCCGTGACAACCCGCGCTGTCAGCCGGCAGCTCGTTGTGCCGCCGTGGTCATGCTCTCGTGAGAGAACATGAACCACCCACGAACACAGTCTCAACATGCTTAAGCCCAGGCATGTGAAACAGTGATCGTGGCCGTCAAATAAGGACAGGAAACGACCGCATCCAGAAACACACGGTTTGAATGACATCTTGAAAAAGACGCAGTCAAACAGTGTATGCTCTTTCAAGAAACTGCTCTCTCTGGTGCTGAAGCACCCAAGGATGATCGCGGCTACACAAACAGGACGATAGTGCAAGCCTAATGTGAGCACTCACATTCTCATTGAAGTGGCTCTCAGATAAGATTGCAGAGCAGGAACAGCATTCATCGTCTGAAAGCGAAAGACAAGGATGCGAGGCACATGCTGCTCATTATATGCTCGCGCCGTGATGCACAGCAGCTGGTGCAATTATCGCATGCCAATGTGCATTGGCTCGTTTAGTTTCACTCAAAGTAGATAGGCTCTTGCAAGCGATCCCCCGATCTGACTCACGTCATAGTGAGCTGACGAAGGGGAACCACATTTAGATATCGTGACGGTAATGAATCAATGTTGTCTGAAGCGAAACGATAGGTACAGTATAAGAAAAATACAAATATTTTTTACTTTTTTTAACAATAAATCATTGCTTCCGGTCAACTGTCCTACAGTAGGTGGTGCGTTCACAAGTTCAGTTTTTACATAAACATAAGCACGTTGGCAAGTTTGCGTGAGAAGTGAAAGTCCTCCATGCTTTTATGTTACTTCTCGTGCAAACTTCACAACACTCTTACTTCAAGCGATAATTTATTATTAAAAAAGTTCAAAAATATTAGTATTTGACTTGATCTTTACTTTTTTGCAGAACTGACTCACCACAGAAGTATTAAGACCGGACATGACGGGGTCGTGAACTTCACGGCAGCGGTTGCCTTCCTGTTCACAGGCGGGGATCAGTTCCAGAACCTTCTCTGGGTCTGTAGCTGTCTTGACATCCGACAAACCCTTCGCCCATGCTGCCGAGCTCACCAGCCACATGAAGGTGAATACACACGTCACGCCAAAATCCTGCAATCATTTTATTCATATTAATTATACATAAACATACAGGCTTGGGTTGTATGAAACATTAAATGAATAGTTCACCCAACATTCAAAATGCTGCCATTATGTGATATCACACGGAGAAGTCTCACAATTTGTATAACTCCACTTGTTTCTGCTGGATCTATACTGCCAGCATTTCTCACAGAGAGCGTCAATGGCAGAGGAGCAGCAAACCCACTATAATTTTACAAATACTACTGTTATTGTGTCACGGAATGTAGTTTTAAGAGTTTTTTAGGTGTGAATATAGTTGTTCAGACCTCAAATATGCGATTTATATATAAACATAGCACCTGTTTGAAAATTTGTTTAGACATTTTTAGAGATGTGAGCTCTTCTACACAAAAAAATATCCTTTCTAGCATATAATAATAAATAATGAAATATTTATAATTGTTTGGTTGAACTAAGCATTTAACAAACTGCTGCTTTAGTGCTTATATAACATGGAAGAAAACTCACAATCAGTGGTCCTTTATTGTTTTCGCGGTACTTCTCAAAGGCAAAGACATAGATGCTGAGAGCGGACATGGAATACAGAAATGCAAAAACGGCTATGGTGACGAAGAACTCTGCCGAGGACGAGTAATCCCCGACCAGGAAGAAACGTTCAGTCTGGCCATTCTTGCAGGCGGGGGCATCGAAATACACTTGATGGAGCCTGGAAGAGACACAGGGCAACAGGGTTACTGAGCAAGTATTTACTTATTTACAACAAAGGCATTTAAAACTAATCTAGAGTGACTATACCACACCATGAGGGAAATTTTTTTACATATGCAGTGGTAGTGTGTATTTGGGATGGCAAACAGCACTTGAAAAAGCAGTGTGCACAGTAACACTAGGATTCAATGAAAAAGGCGTTTTAAACTGGGGTTCAGACACGCTTTATTTAAACAAACTATGAACTCAAACAGAGACTCAGAACATGGAACAAGAATCTTAACACTGGGAAACCAACACTCACGTTAATCCTGAAACATATAACAACTCACAAAGACAGGGCAGAAACACAGGGCTTAAATAATCAAGAACAAACGAGCTAACAGGATAACAAGGGGGCGTGGGAAAATCAGAAACACCAGGGAAAACTAATGAACAAGACAGGGAACCAAAGAACATGACAGGACACAAACCCACATCGTGACATAAACCCCCCCCCCCCCCCCTCCCCCTCTTAAGGGCGGCTCCTGAAGCCCAATAAAACAAACAAAAGTCCAGGAGGGCGGTCTTGGGGGAGGGATGGGGGGCCAGGCCCATGCAGGGGAACGGGACCTGGACCTAGGCAAGGCGGGCCTGGGCCGCAGAGCGTGGGCGGACCAGACTGGGCCGGTGACCAGGGCGGAGCAGGACGAGGCGAAGGCCAGGGCGGACCACGCTTGGCAGGAGACCAGGGCAGAGCACATTTGGCAGGAGACGAGGGCATAGGAGGCTCAGGAGGAGATAGCGCCGACAAGGTCCATGTCAGCGCTGCCTCCATGACCCTCTCGTGGGACCTCCAAAAAAAAAATACTTGGGAGAACCTAGGGGGACAACCTCCGGGCTGGCAACAGACTCTGGGACAGTCTCATGGAGCTTGAGAGACATTGGCAGGGTGAAGAGCAGAGATGGGACCGGCAGGGCGTGGCGCAGAGGCGGGGCCGGCAGGGCGAGGCGCACAGGCGGGGCCGGCAGGACGAGGCGCAGAGGCGGGGCCGGCAGGGCGAGGAGTCTGGGAACGCCCACCGGAGCCTGGCGAACCAAACGAGTCCTCCTTCTCCTCCTGCGACGGCGAGTCACTGGGCTTGATACTCTCACTTGGCTAGATTCACTCACTTGGTTAGATTCGGCACTTGACTCACTTGTCTCGGCATTTAACTCACTTGACTCACTTGACTCGGCTCTTGACTCACTTGACTTGGCACTTGACTCACTCGATTCACTTGATTCACTTGATTCACTTGACACGGCACTCTGCTCACTTGACTCGGGACTTGACTCACTTGACTCGCTTGACTAGGGACTTGACTCGCTTGACTCGGGACTTGACTCGGGACTTGACTCGGGACTTGACTCGGGACTTGACTCGGGACTTGACTCGGGACTTGACTCGGGACTTGACTCGGGACTTGACTCGGGACTTGACTCGGGACTTGACTCGGGACTTGACTCGGGACTTGACTCGGGACTTGACTCGGGACTTGACTCGGGACTTGACTCGTGAACCGCGGGTTCGGCTGGGCAGACGTTAGTCGCGGCCTCGGAAGACAGAAACTCAGGCATGTCGGTCTCGGCGGGAAGAAGCTCAGGCATGTCGTGAAAAGCCGGCTCGACTTGGCTCACGTGAAGCGCGGGTTCGGCTGGACAGACGTGAATTGCAGGCTTGTGGAGCGTGGGCGCGACCGGGCTGATGTGAAGCGCAGGCTCTCGCAGCTTCTCCACGCCCACGGTAAACGAAGAGCCGCTCCACAACAGGGCCAGGTCGATATACCACTCTAAAGACCCGTGCGGATCAGGTTCGGGCATCAGAGACCGGAGTGGTTCCGATAATCCCCCGCGGAAGAAGATCAACAAGCACTGGGTGCTCATTTGCGCAAGATGTGCCAGTTCAAGGAATTCTGCGACATATTCCTCGATGGCGCGATTCTCTTGACGGAGACGGAGAATCTGGACGTCTGAACTCCAGAAAGGCATGGCTGCTGAATCACGATGCGGTGAGTTGTTCTGTAACGTGATGCGGTGAAGGCAGATAGGAGGCTGGATCCAAACGCAGTTTACACGCTTTATTTAAACAAACTATGAACTCAAACAGAGACTCAGAACGTGGAACAAGAATCTTAACACTGGGAAACCAACACTCACGTTAATCCTGAAACATATAACAACTCACAAAGACAGGGCAGAAACACAGGGCTTAAATAATCAAGAACAAACGAGCTAACAGGATAACAAGGGGGCGTGGGAAAATCAGAAACACCTGGGAAAACTAATGAACAAGACAGGGAACCAAAGAACATGACAGGACACAAACCCACATCGTGACAGATATATAGTTGCATTGATATTTCAAGAAGGAGGACCCTTTGAAAATGGGTTAAAGGCTGTTTCTAAAAAAGTAAATGCATATTGATGAACAAGTACAACTACAAATAAACAACTACGGTATGGCCACACAGGTGTTAAAGTACCTGAATGGATAATCAAAATCCACATCTATTTTCAGGTCACTGTCTGATCTGTTCCTGCACTCCACGCTCATCCTGAAGGAGCCGGAGTAACTCCCGCAGGTGGAGAATGCAAAGATGGCAAACACCTGGAAAAGAGAGAGAGGTTTACATTTATGCATTTGGCAGATACTTTTATCCAAAGCCACTGATTAAACACATACATACGAAAATATACGAAACATATACAAATACAGTAGTATATACATTTCAGAGGAGATTCTGTTTATTTATTTATTCAGTTATTGCAGTATACATTATATTAGTTTCCTTGGCTTTATTTAAAAATTTGTGAAGACTGGTGCAAATGCAGTAATGTCGTTTTTTACACATAAGGAGGTGTGTCTCAAAGCAAATAAAATACTGACTAAATAAACCAAACAAAAGCATCTTTTACCATGTGAAAGCAGCATGCTGACATGGACATAAGCACATTATTTTTCCTTTCAGGATTTGAATCTGGGAAATTGAGTCATAGAGATTACTTATGAACTTTGGCTGGCAGAGGGACTGAATGGAGAATGAAGCTATTAAATTTCACTGAGATACTCTGCCATCTGTCATATCGCTGTGCTGGGCTGTGTTATGAACCTAGGCAACATGACAGGAGATGAAAACAACAGACACACATCAAGCCACAGTAAACCATGCTAAACAAAGACAAAGCAAACATGTCAAATGAGGCCAGGAGAAACCAGTAAAAAAGCCTTCATGTAAAAAAATAAGTTAAAAATAACAAATAATCACAACCACCAGACCAGACAAGGTCTAAGCAAGACAGACTATTAAATAATTATGATAAAGAGTCAGGTCACACAAAGTGAAAACAGACCAAGACAGACCAAACAAATCAAATCTGATCAAATCAAACACAATCAGATCAGCTCACATTACCAAGCCCAGAAAAGACAGAAACCAACCCAAATGAACTAAACTGAGTTTCATGATTCAGGGAATCAATTAAACTGAGAAAATGTAATAAATGTGATACAATGATTTGTAATAAATAAATAAATAAAGACATTAATTGTCTTTAATGATTCAAATTATGTTTGTTTTTTTCTAGTGCGAAACACGGTTATATTTAATTTTAAGTCCCCCTGTGGTGAAAATCAAGCTTTTAATGTTGTTTATATGTCTATATGGTGTTTTTAATATGCTTTTAAGGGGTGGTTGATTATGATTTCACTTTTCTAACTTTAGATAGTGTGTAATGTTGCTGTTTGAGCATAAACAACATCTGCAAAGTTGCGATGCCCAGAGTTCAAAGCAAAGGGAGATAACGTATTTTATTTTCAAGAAATTGCTCTTTAAGACTACAACAAACGGCTGGTAGGGACTACACGACATTCCTACCGGGTTAGTGACATCACCAACCCTTACATTTACATAAACCCCGTCCCTGGGAACGCGATTTATAGATTATTATGACAAGCTAATCAATGACTAGAAGACAACTACACATAAGCTATACATAAATTCATCAACTAACCATTCAGAAATGTTGTCTACATGTTGTCACTTCTTCTTGAGTCTCTCGATATTTGTCTGACTTCGGTTTGAACATAAAAGGCTAAAAGTTTTTGAAATTTTCAGTGCATGTCTGTGTGAGGTAATCAAAGCTGCTAAGAGCTGTTGAAGCTCTGCCCTCTGTGCCGAGAGCAGCAGCTCATTTGCATTTAAAGGGACAGACACAAAAACTGTGTTTTTGCTCGCCCTCAAAAAGTGACAATTTGAACATGATATATAAAAATATCTGTGGAGTATTTTAAGCTAAAACTTCACATACACACTCTGGGGACTTATTTTACATCTTGTGAAAAGGGTATTATATCACCCCTTTAAGACGAACCATGTGCAAATTCATGTGTCAACACAATTGCTGAGTATTTTCTACTTAAAATTGCAGTGAACCAAAGACAGTCTCACAAAAGCAGTTTTTATGGTGATTCTGACGTCACGTCAACCAACGAGTGGATCTCTGAGCTGGAGTGAATGAGTGGAGGTGGGGCTAATTTGCATATTCATAGAACCACGTACTAAATGAGGCATGGTTGTAGAGTTACATTCAAGCTATTTTAAGGCATGGAGAATTTTTTTCATTAAATATGTCATTTTGGTGATCAAAGATGAGTTTTAAGAGATAAAATGAAAAATATTGACTTTAATATTTTCTATTCATAAATTATGGCATATGGTTGTGTATCCTACTTGAACAAACATATTTAATTTAGCCTATATTTAATATATAAAATATTTAACAGATATAGTAAAACACACTGTAGTGCCCTGTGCGGTACAGACAGGATACAAATGGTCTTGTTCAACATTTTACTATGTAGCCTGTCATTTGATGATGCCATTTTCTACTCTGCACAAAGTGAAGGAGCACTGTGTGACAACTAGATGGCATCAATACCTTGAAAGATGAGGGACACGCTCAGTTGGTGGCTTGCAGTGTCCGAGAGTGTTCAAAATTTGAGAAAAACTCAAGTTTATGCAAATGAGGAGCTGAAAACGCCAGACAGCAGCAAACATCTGTGAGGTTCAGGTATGGCGTATGTAGATTGTGCTGGAGTTTCAGCTGGATTTAGTCCGTATATCATATTGTATATATGCATTGGTCGTTTTGAAGTTGCTACATATGCTAAATATTGCAGTTTAGATGCTTTCATTGTGAATAGACTTCACAAAAAGTTTATTAAATTGACACTACTGTGGGCATTCTGAAACAAACCTTGCATCTTTCCAACTGTAATTGTGTGTAGGCCTATATATGATGATTATATAAAAAATATTCATAAAATATTTTAATAAAAAAAACGTAGATTAACATACTTGTTATAGACACCACAAAGCAGAGGCGTATAGTGTTTTAAGCAAGGCAAGGCAAGGCAAGGCAAGTTTATTTATATAGCACATTTCATACACAATGGTAATTCAAAGTGCTTTACATAGAAGAAATAAAATAAAAAAAAAAAATAATAAAAAGAAATAAGAATAATTAAAACAGTTTAGAATAAAGAAATTAAAATAATCAAAAGAAATAAGAATAATTAAAACAGTTTAGAATAAAAAAAAAATATATATATATATATATATATACAGTCAGACGAACAGTGGCACAGTGCTCATTCAGTAAATGCATAGCTAAACAGATGTGTTTTGAGTCTGGATTTGAATGTTACTACTGTAGGAGCACATCTGATCTCTTCTGGAAGCTGGTTCCAGCTGCGGCTGGCATAATAGCTAAAAGCAGACTCTCCATGCTTAGAGTGAACCCTTGGTATTTCTAGCTGATGTGATCCTAATGATCTGAGTGATCGGTTTGAGGTTTATATTCAGTGAGCATATCTGCAATGTATTTGGGTCCTAGGCCATTAAATGATTTATATACCAGTAATAATACCGGTACTTTAAAATCAACCCTAAATGTAACTGGGAGCCAGTGTAAAGACCTGAGGACTGGTGTGATATGTTCATATTTTCTGGTTCTGCTCAGAATCCTGGCAGCAGCGTTCTGTATGAGCTGTCTTATGGTCTTTTTAGGAAGGCCAGTGAGGAGTCCATTACAATAATCCACCCTGCTGGTGATAAAAGCATGCACAAGTTTCTCTAAGTCTTGATTGGAAACAAAGCATCTAATTCTTGCAATATTTTTCAGATGATAGTATGCTGATTTAGTTATTGCTTTGACATGACTACTGAAACTAAGGTCTGACTCTAGAGACACACCAAGATTCCTGACTTGATTTTTAGTTGTTTGACCCCTAGCGTCAAGGTATGCGTTCACCTTGAGAACTTCATCTTTGTTTCCAAACGCAATGACTTCAGTTTTGTCTTTGTTTAACTGAAGAAAGTTTTGGCACATCCAACTGTTTACTTCATCAATGCATTGGCACAGGAAGTCAATGGGGCTGTAGTCGTTAGGCGATAGGGCTAAGTAGAGATGTGTGTCGTCTGCATAGCTGTGGTAAGAGATTCGGTTCTTTCTCATTATTTGGCGCATTGGGAGCATATACGGGTTGAATAGGAGTGGTGCAAGAATTGAGCCTTGAGGGACTCCGCATGTCATGGATGTCCACTCAGACTTATGGTCTCCTATACTCACATAATAACCTCTCCCTTCTAAGTATGACCTGAACCATTTTAGGACTGTCCCAGAAAGCCCCACCCAGTTTTCCAGCCTGTCAAGAAGTATGTCATGATCGACAGTGTCAAATGCAGCACTGAGGTCGAGTAGTACCAGCACTGATAATTTGCCTTTATCAGTATTTAAGCGAATATCGTTTATTATCTTTATGAGCGCTGTCTCTGTGCTGTGATGCGATCGGAAACCAGATTGAAAATTGTCAAAGTATCCATTCGAGATTAAGAATTTGTTCAGCTGATTGAAGACAACTTTTTCAATGATCTTGCCTATGAAAGGAAGATTTGAGATCGGTCTATAGTTGCTTAATATAGTCTTATCCAGATTGATCTTTTTCAGGAGGGGCTTGACAACTGCAGTTTTCAGGGAGTTTGGAAAACTACCAGAAAGAAGTGAGGCATTAACCACTTTTAGGAGATCTGCTTCTAAAGTGTTTAACACACTTTTGAAGAAAGATGTGGGAAGTGCGTCAAGGGCGCAGGTTGATGTTTTAAGGTGCTGTACGGTTTCTTCCAAAATTTTGCCATCAATTTCTTTGAAATCAGACATAGTAACTACATTCTCAGGTTGTGGTCTGATCTGTCTGACCCCAGTGCGGCTCAATGATGTGCTGATCACCTTTCTGATATTATTAATTTTCTCAGAGAAGAAAGCAGCACTAAGCGTAGTTTTATTGTTGGTTTTGCCCGAATAAATGCAACACAACAGCTACAAAAATGATTATGGACATATATAGACATTTATATAAGTTGTACTTAAATGTTATTTATTACTGCTGCCAGTTTATTTAAAGGGGTCATGAATTAAGAGATCAAAGTAGCTTTTGACATATAAGAGGTAATCATATTATAAGAACTGTTTCAGAACTGAAAACTTCCTTGTTAGTCCAAAAACAGCTTTTATTGAAACCTAGCCCAGAGAATGACTCGTTTTGGAATGTGCCAATTTAGGTGAAAGCCCGCCTCTGAGGAAGAAAATCAACGCCTACTTCTACCCCCTTACCACTGTAGCCCCGCCCACTGATTCACACTAGTCAAGTAGTAGGTAAATAACAGACGTAATGCTAACATTGGATCGAGCAACTAAGCGATAAACGTGCCTTTGAAGAGTGCAAAATGTTGTTTAGTGCCAGGTTGTGGAAAAACACAGTCGCAGCAGAACCTTCCTTCTGACGCTGGATTTGCAGAGAGACTGAAATTAAAAAGCGATGCTTTACCTTCTATATTGGATCCGACAGGATCGGCGCAATACACTTATGTAAGTAAAAAAGGTTTTATTGTCACTATTGCTTTGTTACTGATCGTTGATACAGTATGTACTGATTATGTGTACGCGTCTAACCAAAATCACCAGTGACCCATGATTTCTGATATGTAATGATTCAGGTACAGTCAGATGATCTTTGTCTCAAAATCGTTTATTGTTGTTTATGTGTGTCACGATCGCTAGCGGAGAATTGGGTGGATCCAAAAGCAGCAACATGATAGTGAGGGCAATCCAAATCATCGTCATCCATGCAAGAGTCGTAATCCAAATAGTCAGAATCATACTCATCCGTGCCAGTGTCGAAAACCATTTTAATCCGTCCGAATAACAAATAAACAAAACAAGCAAGAACAAACGAGAAACAGACTTGAAACAGACCTTGGCGTTGACGAGTGACATACAATACAATGACTCCGTGACATGAACTAACACAGACAGGGTATTTATGCACAGACACTAACAACATAAATGGGAAAGGCTGGGTGCAATCACAAGTGATGGGAACAAACAAGGATTATGGGAAATGTGGTTCTAGAGTGAATGGATACAGGAAGGAAGGGACCTCTAGTGGACACCCAGTGAAAACACAACCAGACACTGTGACATAACCCCCCCTCTACGGAGCGGCTACCAGACGCTCCACGACAGAAAACAACACTCGAAAAAACAAGTCCATGAGGGAGGTGGAGCTGTGGGGAATCAGGGGGAAGGACGGAGGGCCAGGACCATGGGAGGGAATGGAACCAGGGGATGACAGTTCATCGGGCGGCGACGACCCTTCAGGCGACCTGGGCGGCACAGGTAGTTCATCGGGCGGTGACGACCCTTCAGGTGGCCAGGGCGGAGCAGGGAGCAGGGAGCAGGGTTCGTACAGACTCCTGAGGAAGTCCATCGGGCGGCCAGGGTGGTGAAGACCCCTCGGGCGGCCAGGGCGGTGAAGACCCCTCGGGCGGCCAGGGCGGTGAAGACCCCTCGGGCGGCCAGGGCGGTGAAGACCCCTCGGGCGGCCAGGGCGGTGAAGACCCCTCGGGCGCCCAGGGCGGTGAAGACCCCTCGGGCGGCCAGGGCGGTGAAGACCCCTCGGGCGGCCAGGGCGGTGAAGACCCCTCGGGCGGCCATGGCGGTGGAACAGGAACAGACCCTGGCTCAGGAACAGGCACAGACACCGGCTCAGGCACAGGAACAGACACCGGCTCAGGCTCAGGCTCAGGAACAGACACCGGCTCAGGCTCAGGAACAGACACCGGCTCAGGCTCAGGAACAGACACCGGCTCAGGCTCAGGAACAGACACCGGCTCAGGCTCAGGCTCAGGAACAGACACCGGCTCAGGCTCAGGCTCAGGAACAGACACCGGCTCAGGCTCAGGAACAGACACCGGCTCAGGCTCAGGCTCAGGAACAGACACCGGCTCAGGCTCAGGCTCAGGAACAGACACCGGCTCAGGCTCAGGCTCAGGAACAGACACCGGCTCAGGCTCAGGCTCAGGAACAGACACCGGCTCAGGCTCAGGCTCAGGAACAGACACCGGCTCAGGCTCAGGAACAGACACCGGCTCAGGCTCAGGCTCAGGAACAGACACCGGCTCAGGCTCAGGAACAGACACCGGCTCAGGCTCAGGCTCAGGAACAGACACCGGCTCAGGAACAGCCACAAGAACTGTAACAGTCACAAGAACAGACACAAACACAGAAACGAACACTGGCTCTGGAACAGGCACTGGCTCTGGAACGGACATTGGCTCCAGCTCTGGAACATGCACTGGCTCTGCCTCCGGCTCTGGAACAGCAGACACTGGCTCCGGCTCTGGAACAGACACTGGCATCGGCCCTGGAACAGTCTCTGACTGGGCAGACGGAACGTGAACAGTCTCTGACTGGGCAGACAGAACGTGAATAGTCCTTGACTGGGCAGACGGGACGTGAACAGTCTCTGACTGGGCAGACGTGACGTGGACAATCTCTGACTGGGCAGACGTGACGTGGACAATCTCTGACTGGGCAGACGCAGGTCTCCTTCTCCTCCTCCGTTTCGGGACCACCTTACTCGGGACCACCGGAACAGGGACCACCGGGACTGGGATCACCGGACTAGGGACCACCGGGACAGTCACGGAGGAGGTCTTTCTTCTCCTCCGTCGTCCCTTCTGGCGAGGTGCTGGTTCAGGACGGGACAGGACCCGCGGCGAAGGGTGTTCTGGGCTGCGCGTCACCGGATCATGGTCGAAGGAAGACCGAAGTAGAGACTGAGTCCGGGACTCCCCTCTAGTACTTCCTCCTCTGCGAGCTCCACGGGTCCCCGAAAATCTGGCCAGACGCTCTCCTCTAAAGGACTCTCTGTCGTCGAACGAAAAGTCTTTAGGAAATCTGAGCGTCATGGCCTCCTCCCTTTGCCGAGCCACAAAAGCAAACGCCTGCAAAATGTTCATGCTGCTGGACCCATTTGAGGACGGAGTCATTCTGTCACGATCGCTAGCGGAGAATTGGGTGGATCCAAAAGCAGCAACATGATAGTGAGGGCAATCCAAATCATCGTCATCCATGCAAGAGTCGTAATCCAAATAGTCAGAATCATACTCATCCGTGCCAGTGTCGAAAACCATTTTAATCCGTCCGAATAACAAATAAACAAAACAAGCAAGAACAAACGAGAAACAGACTTGAAACAGACCTTGGCGTTGACGAGTGACATACAATACAATGACTCCGTGACATGAACCAACACAGACAGGGTATTTATGCACAGACACTAACAACATAAATGGGAAAGGCTGGGTGCAATCACAAGTGATGGGAACAAACAAGGATTATGGGAAATGTGGTTCTAGAGTGAATGGATACAGGAAGGAAGGGACCTCTAGTGGACACCCAGTGAAAACACAACCAGACACTGTGACAATGTGTCTGTAAATCAAACCAGACTACATTTACATTTAGTCATTTAGCAGACGCTTTTATCCAAAGCGACTTACAACTGAGGACTAAACCAAGCGAGTCATCGTGAAGAGGCAAAAGCAACGCAAGAAGTGCTCAAAATACAAAGTTCAGACATAGCTCGGAGTAGCATAAGCCAGGCAAGCGAGGATTTAGAGGAAAGGATTTTTTTATTTTATTTATTTTTTTTTTTTTTTTGTTAAGTGCTCCCGGAAAAGATGAGTTTTCAGTTGTCTTTTGAATGTTGTCAGGGATTCTGCATTCCGGATGAGGGTGGGGAGATCATTCCACCAGCATGGAACTGTGAATGAGAATGTTCTGGAGAGTGATTTTGTGCCCCGCTGTGATGGTACCACGAGCCGTCGCTCATAGACCGATCGTAGGCTTCTGGTAGGGATGTAGACTTGTAGTAGTGAGTGGAAGTAGGAGGGAGCTGAACCTGTGGTCAATCTGTAAGCAAGCGTCAAAGCCTTGAACTTGATGCGAGCAGCGAGTGGTAGCCAGTGCAGAGAGATGAACAGAGGAGTGACGTGGGCCCTTTTGGGCTCGTTGAAGACCAGACGAGCTGCAGCATTCTGGATCATTTGTTCAGACTAAACTGTCAACTTTGTTTCTCTTAGTAGGATGAAAATAATCTGTTATTTAAACTGTGATTAAATTATAGAAAGCGATCAAATAACCTAACCTCTACAATTGCTGGAGCTGTCAATCAAACAGCGCGAGTTTATCAGTGACTGAGTTCTGAACTCTCGCCAAAACTCCCGATATAATCAACAAATCTCTTATTTACATTGTGTTTGTACTGTTAGTTACGATGAAAGCATTTGTGAGTGCCGAATGCTCATCACTGCAACCTTTCATGTCACGATCTAAATATAATGCCATAGATCTATATATAAATCTATAATCAACACTTTTCACGATTAGTTAACCTTGAGACTGTAAATAGTAAAAATGTGCTAAAAATTTTTGAGAAAGTTCCACGTGTAATACTTAGCTATTTGCAAAGATGTTAGCCAATCACAGCAGTGGGTGTTTACACTGAAGTCTCACAACAGACACGCCCCTTCAAACAGAGCGTTCAAGTCAGAGTTCTAAAATCAGAGTAGGAAAAATGTCTTTTATTTCTAAAATATGACAATTTTTTATGTTAATGTTATAAGTGCACCCCAGGAAACATAAAATAATAAAATAATGCAGTTAATGACCCCTTTAAACAATTATATTACATAAACGGAGTCTCCTCTGGAATTTATATATATAAATGTTCAGCTTATGGCACAATGGTAACCAGTAACAGCTCAGCTCCCGACCCACAGCAAACTAAAGAAACTTGTTACTATACAGAAAACAGCTTTAGACCCATTTGTATTGTGAACACAATGTGAACTATTGGTGGTGAATGCTTCAGTACAGTATATGCATGTTTGATATACAAATTTTATTTATAAATACCACTTATGTATTCTCATTATGTAGACATAATGAGGCAGCAGATGAAAAGTGAGTAGCCATTTCACCATGATAGATGACAGTCATTTTTCATCTAATATATGGGACACATTTGCTTAAACCTCTGGTTCCAAATTAATGGCTGAAATTAACTAAAACTTGGCTATATATACATATAAAATGTGAACTTACCCATTGTAACGCTTTGATGAAGCCCAATGGGACTTTCAGCACCCTGAACTGCCCATTGGCAACCAACTGTCAAAAGAACAACATTTGAAAACGTTAGATGACAGACAGACAGACAGACAGAATGATAGATGAAAATGTGTTATGTATGATGTGGTTTACTCTTCACCACGATGACTCATTACACAAACAGGCCTTCGCTCATATAAGAGACCATTTATTTTGAAGCTTTTGAAACCTACGCATAGCATCTGCTGATGCTAAAGCATCGCCAAGAAAATACAAAAAAACTGTATCAAAGCAGTGACACGATGAAAAAAAAAAAACTTATTTGTTTCAATCCATAAATTCTTAATAATTCATATTCACGTATATTTGTGTATATGACTGAAGCTCGAGGCAAAACGGTGTGTCGCCAGGACCTTGAACCACTGCCAAAATGCCTGCGCGCGCGTCACCGCCATCTCCGAGCTAAAGAGACACTAAACAGCAAGCGATGGACATTTTTCTAAAACCGTTATCGTTTTGCACACCAAAATAAAAAATAATAACAACAATATTAGATGTTGATGGCGTTCGATTGCCTCTAGCAATGTGGTAAAATGCAAGGTCCTTCATTGAGGGGAAATGAATTAGATGTGGCGCTTAGCTGTGCCAGCTCTTTCTACTTCATCATGACAACATTATGATATTTGGAAAGATTTGCTTATCAGACCTGTGATACCGATTTTATTCGGACCTAATGACGTAGGAAGGTGCGGTTTCACACGACACCATTGTTTGCCCGTGAGGATGGTCCTCCTTTAAACACCAAACGAAAAAAAAATCAATACATCGATTTTAGGACTTCTCTTTACGCAATTTAATTATTCATTGCAATATGCAATATTGGCTCAGGCTACACATGAATGCAGCTCGCATCACCTGGCAAAATGTGTTTGCGATGATGTGATAATATTAATAACCAATATGTGATTGTGTCATATTCAGTATAGGCACAGATTTCTAGATCCCTGCCTATATTGCCTAATATTATTTTAAAAATTAAAAAAGACAAAAGGGCCAGATCGAGCTCGGAGCTGAAAGTCACAGTCACAGTGTTGGGATGGAAGTCAGCTGCCATTTTAAAGAGCATCTCCACAAGCGCATCTGCATGTTATAAAGGCCCTCGCGCAGTCGCTTTGGATTGATGATACGCTTTCGCACTAAACACAATGTAAAATTGCAAAATATATGTTGATATCATACCATTACATGTTTATTTAATAACTGTGTAATTGCACATTCCCTTTTAGGAATACGTCATATACGTCTAATAAATCTAGCGCTTCATCAGTTCTGCTTCAAATACTATACACAAATCATAACGTCAATCATGTAGCCTATTAAAAACGAAAATAGAGGACGTCACGAAAAAAAGACTGTAGCAGTGAACAGACGGACAGCACCAGCAGGGCACCTCTCCCTATAAGAATTTTCCACCATAATTTCTAAACGCATCTTCATCGTCTACAATCAACCAAAACTGAAAGACAAACGAAAAACATATACATGATAAACCCAGCAATAATATACCAAAATCATTTTTGCACCAAAAATGCCCTACCTGATTTACAACATCCATGTTAGTCGCCTGCTCGTAGATAGGAGAAATAGCTAAAAATCGGGAGGCAAGTGATGGAAGCGGAACAGCCCGCGCGCGGAGGGGGAGGGAAGATCTACGGAACAGCGTCAGTTGCGTCACGCGCTTCGAGAAGGCGTTTTTGGTGCGCAAAAAGCGGGATGAATTGACCGACACTGATCGCAATAGCAATAGAGCAGTGACATCATTAACCTGTCACAATTTACCTGATTCTTGTAGCATAATCTTAAACGATGCACTCGAATGATATTTACCCTCGAATGAGTTGTTTAAATTGAATGCGTCTCGCACTGCAGAGGCCGTAAATTATGAATGTGATTGATCACAACACAGAATTCAACGGCTATAGTGGTTTGGTGGAACGTTAAGATTCAATTTGGGAAATAACTATTAATGAAAGACTTTTTAAAAACCCGACAAGACAACATCATCACAGTTATAAATAACTTCTATGAGAATGATGTAGGACTGACTGTGGTGTGGTATGGATATTCTGGAGTTCCAGTCACAAGGATTCATTGGGCTCTCCATAAAACTTTATATCTTTGAAGTAATCTTGTTAAATGAATCGGTTTATTAAGATCTTTAAAGAAGGTAGGCTATATAGAATGTTCTCCACAGAGATGGACTGACAATGATGATTTGGACACTATTTTTAGAGAGGGAAAAACACAAATGCTAAAAAATGTTTCCAAAATGAAGAGATTATTCACAATCATAATAAGATCATATATTAGTTGGCTATATATATATAGGCTATATATATATATAGCCTTCTAATCCGTAATGTATTAGGCTATATTATCCATAAAATTGTTTTTTGGTGTGATAAATAATGGTGAAATGTCCTCTTTAGATTCTTAGGACAGCACAAAAGGCAGCATCATAATAAAAGTACATACATTTATTCCTCACTTTCTGCTTCCTCCTTTTGAAGCCCAAAGCACCGCAGCTGTCTTGTTCTCACTGCTAAGGAAACACTCATTAGAGGCTTGCATGTTATGAGAGCGTCTTAATGGCAAAACTCATGTGCTTTAATTTCCCTCATTGTAAATGAGGCTGAGAAATGCTGAACTTTGATAAAGAAGTAAATAATGATGCAGAACATTTTTGTTATAGATCCGTCTGGAAGAAGGAGTGGAACAGTTGTGCTCGAGGGCCAGTAGGGCTAAACAATGTGCCCTCCCCCACAATGCACTATTATAATTGAAACGCAAAACAGTCTGGCCTCAAATCAGTGTCGAAGATTTCCAGTAACGCATCAGCGTACAATGCATCAGTACAGCTTATGATTCAGCTCTTTCCTTCACACAAACTGTCCCCCATAAGTCATGGTTTATGAACTGAAGTTTATGAATCCTAATCATGAATATGTATGTACCTTACAAGATTTGTTGAGAGACATGGCTGTCTTAAACCTTTTCTACATTTCCTTGATTGAGTTGAGAGAACAGCCTGCTTAATATTGGCCATTTTTTTCCTCTGGACAATTCAATTCACATTTATTTGTGTAGCGCTTTTCACAATATCGTTTCAAAGCAACTTTACAGAAAATGCATGTGACTATACATTACAATTTAGAGTGATCTGTTATCGGAGGTGATATCCAACTAATGAATTTCTGAAATGTACAAGTTCCGCAGTTGGCTAACAATGTATTAATTTACTGCATAAACAATGAGCACATTAAAGTAATTATTACAAGTTGTGAACATAATGATTACAATATATAGAAAAAAGTCCTCGCAGGAGTTGGAGTCGTCTCTTCACAGGTGTTGGGGCATCTGAAGTCTTCCTAAGAGGCTGGATCCAAACTGGAGCTGACGTACTCTCTAGTTACCTCTGGATGGGCATCCCGAGATAAAACAAAAGCAAATCAAGCATATAGCTGCTTTTCATAACATTAAGCAAAGATAATCATGTACATTTTATCTGATATAACTTTAGTACAAGGTTTTGAAATGTACAGTATTATGTGAATGCTTGGCTAAAGAGATGTGCCTTTAGTCTATGAACTGGGAGAGTGAGTCTGAGACCCAAACATTATCAAAGTGGGAGGGGAACGTAAAAGGAAGGCTATTCCAGAGTTCAGGGGCCAAATGTGAAAACACTCTCCCTCCTTTAGTGGACTTAGATATATGCACTACCAAGAGTCCAGAGTTTTGTGACCTTAAGAGCGTGATGGATTGTAGAGCGATATAAGTTTGGTTAAATTCACAGGATCTAAATAATTTAGGGTCTTGTAGGTCAGTAGCAATACTTTGTAATCAATATGGAACTTAATATACCAGTGTAAAGATAATAAAATTGGTGTTGTATGATTATATTTTCTTGACCTGTTAAGAACTCAACAAATTGTTTTAGAAATTTGTTTATTGAGGATGCAGGACAACCACCATGCATTACAGTAATCTAGTCTAGAGGTCATGAATGCATAAACTAGCTTTTCTGCATCAGAAACAGATAGCATGTTCTGTAGCTTGGCGATATTTCTGAGGTGTAAGAAAGACAAGTTGCTGTCTAATATAACACCCAGGTCTATTACTGTATGAAGTAGTACATCCTTCTAAATGCAAATTGTATTTTTAGAGATTCTGTGTACAGGTTTTTGGTCCAATAAGTAATACCTCAGTCTTATCTAAATTTAATAGAAGATTACAGGTCATCCAATATGTTATATCCTTAACACACTATGTCAACTTACAACAATTTAGATATGTCATCTGGTCATGATGAAATATATAACTATCATCGGCATAACTATCAATAAGTATCATCGGCATAATAGTGGAAACTAATTCCATGTTTTCTTATAATATTACCAAGGGGCAGCATATTGAAAATAGCAGAGGGCCTAACACAGATCCTTGCGGCACTCCATAGTTTACTGACGATATCTTAGATTTTCCCCATTTAAACAGACAAAATTGTAGCGGTCTGATAGGTAAGACCTTAATGCCTATCCCTGAATACCAGTGTCATTTTGTAGTCGATCTAAGAGTATTTTATGATCTTTTGTGTCAAACGCAGCACTAAGATCAAATAAAAATATAGCTGCAAGCAGCCATTACCGGGGCCAAGAGCAAGAAGCGGCAACAGATGCCATCATGGGTTGGAGTGGCAGATCAACTGCAGCAAGGAGCAATTAAATACATTTTTAAGAGAATTTTGGTAAAATGGCTGAAAAATCATACATTAACTAAAGTATGATTTAATGGATTAACACTTTCAACCAATAGGTGAGGTGACAATGACACATACAAAGTCTGGTGTCAAAATTTGAAGGCATTGCAGAGATAAAGACTTAATAGCCATTTTGGCAGCATGCCTCAACTTTGCTGCTGCGGTATATGAAAACGGTATCGTCTATCGTCACGAAATCCATAACATTTAGTCGGCATGGTCTGGAGATGATATGATTCGATTTTGGTGAAAATCGGACGAATGGTCTAGGAGAAATTCGAAAAAGAAGGTTTTGAAAGTAAATAAATATGGCGGACAGGACGTTCGTCCAAATACGTCAAACTTGGTATCTATGTTCTCGGCATGACCCAAGGAATCTATTAAGACCAGTGTCATTACAATAGGCATATTTTTTCAAAAGTTATTAGCATTTTTGGAAATTTAATTTTAACTTTTGACCAACAGGTGGCGCTGTCTCGAAATCTTTTGAATACCTTCAGGGGATGGTGCTGGTGGCAAATTCTGAGTTTCATAATATTACAGCAATGCATTTGTTAAGTATAGCATTTTACATCACAAAACTGCATTGAAATCAACTTTGATTGAATTTTACTACCCCTTAGTTACTATCAATATTTTGGCATCTGGGCATTGGCGTTTAGACAGCGACCTATGTTTCCAAACTTCTGACGGTGGTTTCGTCTTGAAATGTTTTTTACGCTCTAAATCACAACGCTACACAAACCGTAAGACTAAACTTAGCATGTTTGGTATCTGTGGACTCGGCAAGGATTCATGAACCCAACGAGATGACTCCCGTGAAAATAAGTCAACCACACCAAGAGTTATAAGCATTTGAAAATAAAATTTTACCACTAGGTGGCGCTGTTTCGAAACTTCTCAGGCTCCTTCAGGGCATCGTACTGATGACCCATACCGAGTTTCGTAACAATTCGTTCATGCGTTCAAAAAATACATCATTTTAGCACATAATTCAAAATGTCTGACAGACAAAATGGCCGATCTGGGAAAATTGGATATCAGTCAACTCGGCATGAGGCCCTGAATCTAACGAGACCACTTTTATGATTTTTGGACAAATCGTTCAGAAGTTATGAGCAAAAATAGCCATTTTTCATATTTACGGACCAGTAGGTGGCGCTGCGCCAAAACGCAGCATGTAGCCTCAGCAGGTCATGCTTGTGATGACATGTACCAAGTTTGGTCTGAATACGATTAAGCGTTGCGGAGATACAGCCTTACGTCTGTTTTTGCAAGGGCTACGTAAAATTAGTTTGTGCGTTTATCGAAAACGGTTAAGCGAATCAACTTGAATTCCATAACTTTTTGTCGGTACTGCCTGGAGATGATCTGGTGCAATTTTGGTGAAAATCGGACAAACCATCTAGGACAAGTTCGCAAAAGTAGGTTTTTTGGACAATTCAAAATGGCGGACATATTTTTATGACGGAAATGACGTCATAGGGTGCGATCGAATCGTCATGAGCTCAGGAATCAGAGGAAAAAATAATTTTGTTGATAGCCCTGACGGTCCAAAAGTTATTAGCATAATTTGAGTTAAACTTTGGACAGGTGGTGGCACTAGAGGCAATGAGTTAGAGACACCAAAATTGGTGTATTTAATGTTGGGACTGTCCTCTATCAGAATGTCAAACCAAAACAACTTTCCCGCAAACGGTTCTATGGGCTGCCATAGACGCCCAGTCGGAAGAAGAAGAAATGGAAGAAATAAGAAGAACCAGAACAGATACAATAGGTGCCTCCGCACCTTCGGTGCTTGGCCCCTAACTAGCATTGAGATACAGCCTTGGTCAGGAGCTAGAAGTAAGTCTTTTGTACTATGTTTTTGTGCTATAATGGGGCCTGAATATGG